CCCTTCAGACCATCTGATGGATTATTTAGAAGGCAATTCGTTTCAAAGCGAGGGAGGGTTTGCATTTCCTGTGAGGGATGAGCGCAGTTATAAAAATTGGTTTCTTTAAATTTTGGATGCTGTTCACTTTAAGATTCGAATTTATTATCATTCATATAGTAGCACACACTTCTACCTTTTTAGCCATGTAATTTTTTTCAATATGAATGCTATAACGGACATTCTCCTCCTGACTAACATCGATGTGCGCAACTTAGAGAGTACTGGAAGATCCATCCCACAATTCTGTTGTTGTTATTATGGCAAAGATATGGCATAATGGATTTTCAGAGGCTTCTTTTGTGGTACATTCTTAGAGACTGTAAAGGAGCAAGTCATACAGAACAAAACCTACCTGGTCGTCAAATCAGGTTTGAAAATCATTCGTACCGGCTCAATGCCCTTCGGCCATGATCGTTTTCGCTTGATGTTCCCGTAAGTGATTCACTTTTCATCACCAATCTTTTTCACAAATGGGTCGATTTTGCTGCGATTCAGTAGCGATTCTCTTTCTCTATGATTCTAAAGTGTAATTTGTGCAATACTTGCTCCTCGACAAACCAAATAAAGCTCGCATAGCGGTCAGACTCTTTGCTGCTGTTCATATTTGACATACGCTCAAATACTAAGTGATCAACACTTCTCCCATTATCTTATTCAGTACAATATACTATCTTTCCAACGCCATCTAATGTAACCCAATCGCACTTATAGAACGCGAGGTACAAATTACTAAAGCCATCTATTACAAAAATAATGGATTACGTTTAATTTATTTAAATGTTAATATTACTCTTGTTCGCTTTTTAGCGGCTCCTCAGATTAGGTGTGTGTCTTTGCTGAAAACGCCTAAGCAGCCTGAATGTAGGCAACCATCATTTAAAAAAAAACATATTCTCTTCAACGCGCCAACAACAGCGTAGCCTCTATTTTGGCTGTGTTTAAATATGATGATTAAAACAAAAGTGAAATATTCCACAGGAAATGCAATCAGAATTGGGAGACTTTGTATTCTCATCTTCTTTCTACGTACCATCTACCTGATGTAATATTTATCGCCATAATTGATCAAGCTTTGCATATACAATTAATATTTAATTAAACTATGCATTGTTGATTATGAATATGTTGAACGAATTTGCATTGCATATCTGTTGCACTGTTGCGGCCGAGCAGATATCACAGGCCATCATAAACCGACGCGAATCGAGTGCGACTGTGCTTTGTATTTAAGTACAGACTTTGCAATGCAGCGAGCAATTTAAATACGACAAGGCATTTAGGTTTAATTTTTAAGTTTTTCCACATAAATAAAATTCTTATGCGGCATTTCTTCGTTAAATGCCTATATATACATATGTTTGTATGTACGTAAGCACAACCTGTCTTCGGCCTTGAATATGCACTTTAAACTGCCTTGTGACCAGTAGGAGAAGCGCGTAAAATGAATATTAAAGTTGCGGTTGCTCTGAGCTGCAGTGTTTTAATTAAGCCAACACACGAGTCCAACAGCAGCCCGCCAGGGAGGCTGGCAGCGTGTGCACGCAAACACATAGACAAAAAGAATTTAAACGCCATTTTTTTTATTTTTTTTCCTCATTTTTTTCTCTTGCTCACTGCACCTAATTAAACTATGCATTCGGTTGAGAAAAAAAAAAATAAAAAAAAAAAAAAAAAAAAAAATAAAAAAAAATAAAATAAAATAAAATAAAATAAAATAAAATAAAATAAAATAAAATAAAATAATAAAGATAAAAAAAAATTAAAAAAAAAAAATAAAAAAAAGATAAAAAAAAATTTAAAAAAAAAATAAAAATTGAAAATATCAAAGAATAAATTTTAAAAAATTTAAATAATTAAAAAATTATATGGTTAAAAACTTCAAAAAANAATAAAAAAAAAAAAATAAAAAAAAAAATAAAAAAAAAAATTCTGCTTTACGCAAAAGTGCCGCAAAATGGCGCATGCGAGGGATTATTGTGGTGAAAATAAAAATACAAAAATCCCCAGTTTATCTGCGGCACCGCACAGCAATTGCAAGCTTGCTAATTAGCTACTGAATCGGCGATGCTGCGGTTGGTCGTAGCAGCAATTCATGTGAGCTGCCTTGCAGACTGCGAATTCAGTGCCAATTAATATGGACTTTGGTGCGCCAGATATGCTCTTTTTCATGGCGTTGCTTTGAGTTCACAAAAGAAAAACATTTTGTACATAAGAAAATTATAATTATACTTTCTTATTAACGGTAAACAGGCAAAAACTGAAAATTAAAATTTACTCACAACAGGCGTGGTATTTCAAATAGCGATAAATTACTTGGTTGATGGCAAAACAATCCTAAATGTAGGCCAAGTTCTGCCAAAGTAATGCGGTACACGAAAATTAAAACCTTGCCTACATTTAGGTATTTGCCTGGTTGAAAGTCGGATGCTGAGGCTCAAACAGCGAGCGCTCGTACTTAAGCCATTTATTCATAGTAGTCCGGCTTAACTCAACCCAACGACTCAATCGGCTAAAGACTGTGTCTATTTTGTGTATGTGTGTTACAATCAGATGCATCAGCGTAACCCAGTTCTGGAATGCCCCGTCAATACATCTAGACAGATATCAAATGCCCTTTAGCTTACTGCTAGTAACATCGATTTTGTCGATTTTGTGTTAATGCATTAAGCGTTTAAGCTGCCGCTCAGTTATCCTTATTGTGGAAGTCACAGAAGAACGAAGCTTCAGTGGGTTCCTCACATTTATACCTATCAATACAGATATAAACATTTTCAATCCATTTAAGCTTCTCCACTTGGGAAGTAGCAGATGGTATCCACCAGGCAGAAGTTCTCCTTTCCTCGGTCGCATTGTATGCAAAGGACGAGTTCTCTTATAATTTTCCGTAGTCCCCATGACCTTCGGGGTTAGGTACTGTATTAATTTTTCTGGAACTATTAGGGGACAAGCTATTAGCATTATTTCGTAAGTTACATCAAAGATGATTTCCAGTACCTTTGTTGAGATAGTATTTTGTACGTCTTTAGGTAGAAGGTAAGTTTTAACCATTTATCTATAGTGCTTTCCCTAATGGGCCTAGGGACGCGATCCATAGGGAATTTTTTTTGATTTATTTAATTTTATTTTATTTTATTTTATTTTATTTTATTTTATTTTATTTTATTTTATTTTATTTTATTTTATTTTATTTTATTTTATTTTATTTTATTTTATTTTATTTTATTTTATTTTATTTTATTTTATTTTATTTTATTTTATTTTATTTTATTTTATTTTATTTTATTTTATTTTATTTTATTTTATTTTATTTTATTTTATTTTATTTTATTTTATTTTATTTTATTTTATTTTATTTTATTTTATTTTATTTTATTTTATTTTATTTTATTTTATTTTATTTTATTTTATTTTATTTTATTTTATTTTATTTTATTTTATTTTATTTTATTTTATTTTATTTTATTTTATTTTATTTTATTTTATTTTATTTTATTTTATTTTATTTTATTTTATTTTATTTTATTTTATTTTATTTTATTTTATTTTATTTTATTTTATTTTATTTTATTTTATTTTATTTTATTTTATTTTATTTTATTTTATTTTATTTTATTTTATTTTATTTTATTTTATTTTATTTTATTTTATTTTATTTTATTTTATTTTATTTTATTTTATTTTATTTTATTTTATTTTATTTTATTTTATTTTATTTTATTTTATTTTATTTTATTTTATTTTATTTTATTTTATTTTATTTTATTTTATTTTATTTTATTTTATTTTATTTTATTTTATTTTATTTTATTTTATTTTATTTTATTTTATTTTATTTTATTTTATTTTATTTTATTTTATTTTATTTTATTTTATTTTATTTTATTTTATTTTATTTTATTTTATTTTATTTTATTTTATTTTATTTTATTTTATTTTATTTTATTTTATTTTATTTTATTTTATTTTATTTTATTTTATTTTATTTTATTTTATTTTATTTTATTTTATTTTATTTTATTTTATTTTATTTTATTTTATTTTATTTTATTTTATTTTATTTTATTTTATTTTATTTTATTTTATTTTATTTTATTTTATTTTATTTTATTTTATTTTATTTTATTTTATTTTATTTTATTTTATTTTATTTTATTTTATTTTATTTTATTTTATTTTATTTGTTTTATTTTATGTTATTCGATTTCCTTCCATTATAATATATTTTATTTTAATTTGATTTTCTTTCCTTTCATTTTGTTTTAATTAATTTAATTTATGTCTTATTATTTTATTTTATTTTAACATTGTATTTATTTTTTTTTTTTTTTTTGTTTTACTTGTATTCTTGTCGGCTAATGGAACTGTTTGTAGCAAAGTCAGAAACTGCAATCAATTAACCTGAATAAGTCTCTTGCCTAGCTTTAACTCAAAATTCAAACGGTAAATAAATACTTAAAAAACTTATGGAGAATATTTTCAAATTTACTTGTTAGTCAATATAAACGTTTCCATAGAATTGCGTATATTGTTTTAATATGTTATTATTTTTGTATATGTTACATACATACATAAATATATATACATGTTAATAAATTCATGGAAAATATGAACTTTGTTTATTTTATGTTAATTATTAATTTACCTTGCATTTACAAAAAATTTCACTTGATTTATGTTGCAAGGTCTTTGTTTTCATAAAGATACACGTAGGTATATTGTATTGTATTACAAACATACATACATATATTTTTTATCACAAATATTTACTTTCGCTTATATGTATTACGTATTTAAATACACACACACACACACTCACACACACGCACTCACACATATATATAAATATTATCACTGCCGTGTCCATATTAGCTTTTTCCCGTTCATTTTATTTACATATTTTCTCTCAACTCAGTACTCATCGTATTTTCTTCCCCTCTTCTTCTCCCATCTTCACACAGAGATACCCGCCGATTCACGCGCCATCATCAGCGGCCCAGCGGATCTGCATTTCAAAGTCGGCAGCGCAATTATACTCAACTGTCATGTGCAACAGCCGAGCATTCGTGATATTGGACCGATTTATTGGTATCGCGGTGAGCATATAATTACGCCATTCGAGCTCGACGATGACGACGATGAAGTCAGCAAGAGTAGCAGCAACAACAACGGTCATACTCATAGCTACGGCATTGACATTGCCACACCAGCATTGGCAGACAATGAGCTGGAAGTTGATGTGACAGCGACGATAACAAATGCCAATGCCTTTCCCGGCGGTGGAGCTGGAGCTGGATCTGTTGCCATCGCTGGAGGCAGAGGTCGTACGAAGGCGGCAGCTGCGACGACGACAAGTGCGTTGGCAGTGCAACATGACGGCTTAAGCAACGACATAACGCCGGACTTTACGGCGCGCATTGCAATGGAATCACAGTTGGGTGACACAATGAAATCAAGGTAAGTCGCGAGGAAGAGCAAGTTGCAGGCAGTCAGCTAGTCAGCCAGTCAGGCAATCAAAAGGCCACAGGTGGAGCTGACGATAGTCGACCTTTTAGTTCGTGCGTGTTGGCATGCAAAGGTGCAGTAAGGCGCTGCCAGCTCAAACCATTTGTCGGTTGACCGTGTCAACATGCAAATGAATGCTGGTATCTTTGTGTTGCATGCCATGCCCGAGCATACAACCAACTGGAGTGTTTGTGTGTGTGCGCGCTTTTGCGAAATCGCACTTGTCACTTTGGCTTTGATTACTCTGCGGCTCGGCATAAATAAATATTTGAGCCTTAACATTTCAATTCATTGCTTTCAATTTCTCAGGCCATCACGGCCTTCGCAAAGGAATGTCAACTTCTCGACACATGCATAAACACATACACACACACACACACTTATAACACGGAATGGATGCACTAGTATAACTCAACATAGCTTTTTTGATGTCTTCAGCCGTCGACTGACTGTGCTCCGTGCAGCGATGGTCTTATGAGCTTCGTCTTATATTTTCACACTTGCTCACTTTATATACATATATATATATATTAAACTCATGTTGATGTCGCCATTCATATTATTCTTATGCTTCTTCTTCTTCTTCATTTTCTCCATGTTCTACTTCCTCATCATCAGGTTGCGCATCTCGAATGCACAGACAAGGGATACAGGGAATTACACTTGTCAGCCGACAACAGCGAGCAGCGCCAGCGTCATGGTACACGTGATTAATGGTGAGTAGCTTCATTTGCTACTGTTGCTTCTTCTTCTACTACTACTACTACCTCTACTACAATTTATTTCAACTTACACATATTTTCATTATGAACGCGTGTGTGCGTGTGAGGTTATGTGCATTTGTTCTCGTGACAAAAGTGACGGATCATACAATGTATACTGCTTTGCTCCTTTATAAATATCATAGAAGACAGTAGAATGTGGAAGTGTGAAGACACAAGCTCGGTATTAAATTACTTATAGTGTGTTTTGGAAGCGAGGTGGTGTTGTCTTGGCAGACGATGACCGACAAACGCTCATATTGACGCCGAGTCGTACCAAAGCACAACCACGCGTCAGGTATTGCGTAAGGTAAGACGTAAGATCAAATTCTTTGTTAGTCAGGGTTGAGAGTTTGCAAAAATATGTCATAAGACTTAAAAAAAACAGTCTAAGACAGTGAGTCTGTGCGCGCAAGTACTTTCTTCAGAGATGAAAAACTCATACTTTCCCCATTGTTCCCCGGGGTTGAAAGATCTCTTCCATGTGCTTGGATCTGATAGACGAAACAGATCTTCGTCCAACAGGCCAGAGATCCTCTTTGGTGACAAAAAATAACAGCTAAAAATTCGTTAAAACGCGGTCAAGGCTTAATACGTGAGAGTTCGTCTCCCTGAATTGAGTTTTTGCATACTGCGCAAAAGTATTCCTTAAATTGGATTTCAGAAAATATTGCGGGAGAGACTGTATGAGTATTTGGCTGGCTAAAAATCCATCTCGATCTTCTGTAAAAAAGATCCGCCTCTTGTGCTTCAACTATTGACTGCTTGAATTCTGCTTGAATTTGGGATCCAACCACTATTCAAGTCGGAAATATAGAACTCTGATTTCCGCTTCTTTAGTAAACCTTTAAAAAAAAAACCCCTAATAGTCTTTAACTCGGTTAAGTGCTTAGTACGAATCATGCTTCCATGGCTCAACTGAGCCGTAAAGAATATTTAATAAAAGGTCTTTGAGCAGGAGACCCTTGAAAGCAGGCGAGTCAAAGAATATAGAACTCTGATTTCAGCTTCTTTAATAAATCTTAAAAAAAAAAACCCTAATAGTCTTTAACTCGGTTAAGTGCTTAGTACGAATCATGCTTCCATGGCTCAACTGAGCCGTAAAGAATATTTAATGAAAAGCTTTGAGCAGGAGACCCGTGAAGAAAGAGTGCCAAAATTATACCATCAGGCCCTTCTCCATACAACTAGTGGAATATGAGTCACTCTCATATCATGCCGAGAAAACAGTGACCAGTCAGAGTTTCTACCATATGGTGTGGTGGCTTTTAGAAGGAACTTCCGACCTTCCGCTGTTCAACTCAGGCCAGAAGGATCTGGCGGTCTTGTGCACATTCTGGTATTTGACCAGCGTATCAATTGCATCAAAATGCTGGATCTCTGCCTACCAATTTTAAATGCTGCTCACTACCACCAGCTTTTCACAGACCAAAATTTATTAGAAATCTTCAATATTAGCTCTACCTAATAATAATCTTTAATGGCAACATCCATAAAGTATATTGTTGGTAATCCAACACGAGGAGAATATACACAATAAGGAGCTCGATAGACTTTCTGAGAAAAGGCTTCAAAACGCCACACCTTACCATAGACTTGCCTGACATGTCACTGAATTATTTTCAAGTTGTTTGATTGCTAGCTGAATTCGTAAAATTTTATTTGTTGTGACGGTCTCTCCACTTATCATAGCTGCAGAGATTTTCTTCTCCAAAACTCTGATCACAAAAGCAAACTATTTGATCTATTCGAAAAGTGCAGCATTCAGTTTGAATATTATGATGTGCGTGACCTCACTAAAAGTTCATAAATATGCACCCAAATGTAGGCAACATTTTCTTCTAGATTGTAATTATTTCTTATCTTCGGCCAGCCGAGGCACAATGTTGGCCATTTATTGAGCTGCTAGAAATTTTGGAAAAAAATATATAAAAATAGAATCTGAAAATAGTAAATGAAAAGAAAAATGTTCAAAAATCTTGAAAAATCTTGGAAAATTTAAAATATGATTAGGTGATCACACAAAGCCACAAAAGTTTGCTATAAAACTTTTTTTTAGACATGAGGTTTACAATGGCTCAATACTCTTATCGGAGTTGTTTTTTTTCTTTTTTTTGATAGCTGTAACTTTATTTATACTAAGTGATGACGATACCCAATTCATTTTTGAGACGTTGTTCAATACCCAAAACGTCACTATTTGGTGAGCTCTTTGGGCTGAGGAAATCATTGGTCCTTATATGTTCAAAACTGCTGCCGGTCATATTGTTGAAATAAATGATGAACACTATGGAGGCATAACTAATGACTTTTTAGTGCATGAATCGGAAGATATTGGTTGTGGGCGATAAAAAAAAAACATATATTTTAATTGCGACCAAATAAATTGTTGATCCTTTTAATTTTAATTTATAGTATGTGAGACCTCGCTATAATTTATTTGGCACCGCGCCAAGTTGTAGGCAATGCTTTGTTGTTTTAAAAAATTTCGCCTAGCCAAACAAATATTATGACCAACAGAGAGTGTAGAAAACTAATTTTAAAAATATATACATCAAAATAGAGTAAACCGACTTATCTCACTCAAAGTCTTCATAAATCTTGCTATAAGGGAAAACAAAAAAAAAGAATGCAAAATATCTTTGAAAATATAAAATGCTCTTCTGTTCGTTTGGGTAAAAAGTATAAGGTATGTGACTTTCCTTTTTTATTGGAGACGCCTAGTTGTAGGCAACGTTTTACTAAATTAATATATTTGCAGCCAAATTTACTTCAAACAAATAAAAAGTATACTTATTTTGAGCTATGGTCATTTGAAAAGAAAAATTTTATTACTTTAAATTAATTTGCGAGGTATCAAGTCGTATTTGATCACTTCTACCATATTAAAAAATTAAATTAAATAAAAAAAAATTTTAAATATAAGAAAATAAAAATTTAAAAACAAATGTATAAATATATTAAAACATTTTTTTTTAATAAATTTGAATATTAAAAAAAAATTTAAATGAAATCTAAGAATATTACCCAATCACCTTGTACTAAACTCCTCATTGCGCTAGTCAACGACTTAGCCAAATTTATTATACGCAGTAACAGCTCGGTGGCATTGCATATTAGCAGAACTAACATGTTAAAGCGGGCTGTGCGCAACAACGGCAGGCAGGCAGACAAGCAGTTAGGGGGCTAGGCAGCCCGCAAAGGTGACGACACGCCTGCCATTGTTAGCAATGTGCCACTCAGCATTGCGTGTTTATATTTACCAATACATACATGTATAGAGATCTATTTGCTACATGAGTGTAATTGAAAGAGCTTCATAGCAGTAGCAGCTTCCTGTTCCGTTTTCTAGGAATTCACACCAACAACAATAATAAGAACACTCTGCGAAAAATGGTTGAATAAAACAAATGAAAATGATTTTGTCATCATTTGTCGTTGCTGCCTGTCACATTAACAAACCCACTTAAACATACTAACACATACACATAAGTATGTGTGTACTTGCTAACATATGTATGTACGTATGTAAATATGTACATAGGAGTTGCATAACGTTGTTAGCGGATTTTGACATGACAACAATGAATTTGTTAAATTTCATATTCTACGACGCATTTGCCATTAGTCATAGTATTCTACAAATGAGATTATAGCAAAAAAAATACAAACATATATATATGTACATATGTATGTAAACATGCGTAAAATTAGTGATTTTTTGATGAGTCATCATTATATGTGTCAAATTCAGCGTGGAATATGGCTTATGCACTTGGGTATATATGTAGAAATGTATAAATATATATGTATGTATGTATGTATGCATATTTATCAACATGTGTTTTCAAATATTTTTTATGTACGTTGCCCTAATACTTGCTTTGCGGCTTTCTTATGCACCTTTGTTTTGCATTTCTATTCAATTACAAGAGCCCTCATTTGTCCGTTATAATAAACGGCTCGATATCCCAGTAGTCTATAGTAGTGTCTAAAGTTAAATGCTTTAACAAAATATAATATATTAGATAACATCATCTTGGTAGCTTGCTATGCATCTCTTAGAGTCTAAGTGGGTGGTTTACATGAAAGAGGCAAAACTCAAATAAAGAATGTAAAAAAAAGAGAAAGACAGAAAGAAATAGAGTAAGAGAGATAGATAGAGAAAGAAAGAGAGAGAGAGCGCGAGAGAGAGAGGAAAAGAGAGAAAAAAGAGAGAGAGAGAAAGAGAGAAAAAGAGAGAAGATAGAGAGAGAAGAGAGAGAAGAGAGAAAAGAGAGAGAAGAGAGAGAAGATAGAGAGAGAAAGAGAGAGAAGATAGGGGAGAGAGAGAGAAAGAAGAAAGAGAAAAGATAAGGGGAGAGAGAGAGAAAGAATAAAGAGAGAGACAGAAAGAAAGAGAAAGGGATAGAGAGATAAAAAGAGAGAGAGAGATAGAGGGAGATAGACAAAGTTAGAGAGAGAAAGAGGAAAAGAAAGAGGAAGAAAAAGGGAGAAAGATAGAGGAAATTCAAGTAGAGAGTATGAAAGAGAGAGAGGGATAGGGAGAGGAGAGAGCTAAATAGAAGCAGAAATAGAAAGAGAAGCAGACCAAAGAGGGAAAAAGAAAGCTAAAGAAAAAGAGTTAGGGAAAAGAAAGAGGGTGAAGAGGATGTTATGAATGGTTGAACTCAGCCGAACTGAGACTTTACCATTTAAATTTCACTTGCAAAGTTCTCACAATCAAAGGTTACAAACCAGGTGGTATTTATGGAACTTTTCATAATGTCCGTGGTTAAAAATGTTTACAAGCGTTTGGATGACCTTGGTCCTAATCCAACCAAAATCCAAACTTCAGACTACGATCACCCCTCAGAAGGGAATCTCAAACCGAGTTTATGGCATGAATTAAAAACGCTCATCATAAAAATCCCTCTGCCGTTCGGAAGCGACTTTGAATAAACTGTAGGTTCCTC